AGACGACATGGCGTTTCGGCAATATAATAGGGCGTCGAGCTTCAAGAGGCAGATATATGGCTTCATCCAGGCGACCACTGGCAGGAATAATTTCTTCGTTGTCTACGTATGGCGTTAATTTGTATAGTTTGCATTTTTTGTTAAGAGGTTGTTGAAGCTTAAGTAAACTCTTTTCCTCCGAAAAACAATCCTCCTGTACCAGTTGCATTATAAATTTTTCGGCTTCATTGATTTCACTTGGTAATAACGGTGGCAACGACTGCCAATTATTACACTCTTCTATAAATAGTGGATCTCGTTTTCTACAGAATATTTGAACAGCTCTTAGGAACCAGGCAACAGAACGTTTAAGTCTAAAAAAATAACTGAAACGGTTAAATTCTATCAATGTTTCACTGGCCTGATATTGTAGTAATATCGGTGTCGTAATCTCTTCTTCTGGCGTGTCAGTATAAAACGAAAATGTAGCATTTGGCCAGCTATTTTGTTCTTGACGTAAAAAGGTTGGCCCTTTTAACCAAATGTTGCCATTGTTTATTTTAGGCACCTCTTTGGCTCTTGTTGCAGCGTCAGAAGGGTTCATTTTAGTTGGCACCCATCTCCATTGGTCTTCTTTCGTTGAGGTCAATATTCCAGCTATACGATGCCCAACAAATGGTTTGAATCGGCGATTTCTTGAATTTACCCAACAAAGAACGGTTTTGGAATCAGTCCAAAATACTATACGGCTTATGTTTATGTCATGTCTGTCCACCACCAGCTTTGATAATCGAGTAGCCAAGACTGCAGCCTGCAGTTCCAACCTTGGCATGGATAGGAGTTTCTTAGGCGCTGTGCGAGTCTTACCACAGACAAAAACTACATCGACTGCAAATGCAACTTGACTAGCATCCATAAATACATATGTTGATTTAGACCTCTTTGGCAATGTTGAGATGCGGCGAGTAGCATCTTGGTACAAAGAAATTGCCTATTCTGGCAAATTCGTCCCACCACCGAAACCATGTTTGAGATAACGTAGGTGGTAACAAGTCGTCCCAATTTAATTTGGTTTTCCAGGTTTCTTGCAATAACACTTTGGCAATAAGTAAAAAATTCGCTAAGACGCCGTATGGATCAAATATAGCCATCACAATTCCTAAAAGTTCTCGCTTTGTTGGAACCCTTTTACCCTCGATAACTTCTTTAGCTATGCGATGAAATTTTGTTAAGAATTGAAACGAATCATTTGTTACGTTCCAATACATTCCCAAGATTTTCTCAGTTTGGATCTGCCGATTCAAACAGATGGCCTCTGCACTTTCACCTGCATTCATGACAATCTGTAGATTTAACGAATTTGATGAAAAATTACGAAGTTCAAAGCCGGCGTTTGCATTAATTTGCACCACTTGCTGACAAATTAGTAGAGCGTGCTCTTCTGAAACTGGCAACGTAATCGTCTACGTAAAAGTTCTCATTGATGGCAGATACAGGTTCCGGATATTGGCTGCGATAACTTTCGGCATTACGGTTCTTAAAAAATTCAGCGCAACAGGGCGAACATACTGCTCCGAAGATCATAGACGTCATGACATATTGTTCGATCGGTGACATTTCGGAACCGCTTCTCCATAAGAATCTTTGGGCATTCTGGTCGGCTGGTCGTATTTTAACCTGAGAAAACATCTCTTTTATGTCTGCAGCAACAGCAAATCGACGCTGACGTAGTTTAAAAAGTATTCCTATTAATGGTTTATGTAAGTCTTTTCTGGTCCCTTCAACAATGCTGAGTTGAGAGATTGTTTATCAACAGTGGCGGCGGCATCGAAAACAATTCTCAGTTTGTCGGGCTTATGCGGGTTCTGCACAGAAAAATGCGGCAAATACCACAACGGCTTTGTTATATCTTCTATTTCATCTTGTGTGAGTTTCCTGGCGTAACCTTTGGCGATGTATTTGTTAATTTCGGTCTTATATCGTTCTGCGAATTTGACATTATTTCTCATTTTAGGTTCGATTCCCTTCAAACGTTTGACAGCCATGGCGTAGCTATCAGGCAATATTGGTGAATTTTTTCTCCATAAAAGGCCAACCTCATACCGATCATTGATACGGCGTGTTGTATCAGACAAGATTTTACGAGCTCTCAAATCATCGGCTGACTCCAGCCTCGGTGTTGGATTTTCAATTTCAAAATTTTCACAATTAAAATATTCGGCAACAATACGATCAACACATTTAAATGATGGTTCTGCTCGGGCAAATAACATTGGCGAATGGACGGTGATGCTTGAACCGGTTGGACCATACGCCACCCATCCAAGCTTAGTTCGAATAGCCACTGGATTAGATGCACCGGCGGTCAC